CCCCCGCCCCAAACACAGCCCTGCCCCAGCCCCACTCCCGCCAGGAAGAGGCTGGTGTAGCCCCTTATCCCGAGCCCACAGCAGGCAGCCTGCCCTTACCCCATGCACAAATCCAGGGGGTGCATGCAGCAGCAGGAGATGCCCCCTTCCCACCCTCCTTCGCCCCTGGATGAGCTACCCACAACTCTGTCCTGCTCTCTGCCCTGGCTGGGCAGTGCTTGCCCCTGCCTCATTTCCTCCCTCACTATGGGGGCCTTGATCTGCCCCTCCGCGCTCCTTCCACACCCCTTACCCCAACAGACTTACCAGCCAGACTCTCCATGCTGCCAGGCTGCGCTCCTGGCCATGGCATTTATCTGTCACATTACCAGCCACATTGTCCAAAAAAAGCCGCTTGCCAATAACGTCAGTTTTCCTTTTATTGGTGCAGATATGATATGGACCAATGTATTGGTACTCCTCTACTTCAGAGATACCCAAGTCAGCTTTAAAATAGGCCACTCAGATACTAGTAGCACTCTAGCCATGGCACTATGAAGCACAGCACAGACTAATTTATTTGGTTTCTTTGGTAGGTCTTGCAAGCCATGCTGAGCTGTTTTGCCACATAAAAACTACTACCAGTTTAACAGTACCTTAGGTATCTGTAAACTATGCTGAAGTGACTGCTGTGACTGCAGCATAAATACACCCTAAGATTCAGAACTGATCATCTGGGGGTTTTTTGTTATTCTGTAGTATATTTTCATTTTCAGTGTAGAGAATATCACTGGATTACTGTGTGATCAGACCTATTTCTAACTTTAACCTAACTACAGAGTTGGTCCAACAGAAGTTATCACCCTAAGAAATCCTTGTCTATTCCATAATTTCTGGACCATCGCAGCTACAACATCCCACTTACATTACTCAATTACTACTAAGAATCTTTACCTGTATTGTTGAATGAAGCTCTTGGATGACAAGTGAGGGCATGCTCTTGTGCAAGTTCTGTTGCTTTTCAGAAACAAAGTAAAGCTGTGATGCTTCATCAGTGCTTCTTCCAATCAACCCTTGGCACTGCCAAAAAAAAATCTAAGAATAGTACTTTGAAGAGTCACAACTCTGCAAGTGTAACACAGAAAACTCTTATGTTAGTAGAAGCCATGGGGTAGAAAATGCACCTGAAATAACTGGGCATCTTTACATGTGCTCCGGGGTGTAGGTATTTTAATTAGAGCAGCCCGCAATGTCTCATGTATTCAGCGTCCCATGCTTCAAAATGGCAGTGGGGACGCTTTAACTAAAGCTTGTTTGACAAGCATTAGTTAAAATGCCCCCATTGCCATTTTGAAGTGAGGGGATGCTGAGTACACAAGACTAATTAGCATGCTCCAGCAGACTCAATTAAATCAAATTTGCTCCAACACACTGTAATTACTGTGCATTGGAGCAGGTGTCCCACATGCCTACAGGCACTCATTAATACTGTCTCTTACTATAGTAATTCCTGTATTTGCTATAATAAAAATAAATTAGTTTATGAAAACCATACAGTAGTAGTAACCGGTAATAAATATGCTTTAGCCACTATGAGCTGTGCTTCATCTTCCGCAAATAAAAAAAAAAGGATTTATACAACTCACCCAATCTAATCCTAGTTTTTATATCAAACTCCAAAAACATAATTTAAGACTCTGACCAAATGAAAATTCAAAACATTGGGACTGCAGGCTGAAACACTCTTCTTTTCTAATTCCAAAACAACAAGGCTAATTATTCAAGGGCTTTTCAATTAGCGGATAGCAAGACATAGGTTAAAGATAGTGTTTCAGCTCACTCTCCAACCGTATGCCAATATAACACCACCGCCAATATAACACCACTGCCTACAACTACTTCAGTTGCATTTTTTTAATTAAATTTCATTTGAGTTTTCATTGAAGCAATTTTATTAAGCACTCAGACACTGACCTATTATTGGGTTAGTCCAGTTTTATGTCAGCATAATTCTCCAGAAATCAATGGAGTTATATTAGTGTAAAATGTAGTAATTTGGGTCCTCACTTCAAAGCAACCAAATGTATTTTATGGAAAACAGAGAAACCAAAGTGTGTATTTAATTCCAAAAACATTTTTATTGCCAAATTATTTGATATGAAGAGAGAAAAAATGAGATTTCATAACTCAATTGCACGTACAACAAAGATGACTTAAAAATGAAATTTCTACAGAGGAAGACGTGAAATTCTGCCAACAGCCATACCTTGAAACCTGCATTATATAAATAAATTTAAATAAAAACAGCATTTTATCACTAACCTGGTTTCTAGCCACTACTGGTATGTGCTAGGCACAGATGTTCTGATCTACCTCCAGAACTGAAGGCACCAGAGCTGCCTGCTTCTCTGCAGAAGTAATGTGACAAAACAGCTTCTGGTTCCTGAGCCACTACATGCAGAGCTAGATTTGGATATCTTTGCAGGGCACTGCTTACAAACTTAATACCAGCTACAACCTCTTATTCCAATTTTCTCCCCTAATCTGTCCCACCATCATCCATCACCAATTAACTAACCTTACAGTCTCTTTTCTTATTTCTGAAGTGCATTTGTATCTACCATGGAACTACTTCCCAGTTCATTAAATTTATACTCTGCCTGCAGTTCCCAGTTGTTTAAAATAAGGTGGTAGGACAGAGTGCAAGAATGACACTTCAAATAATGATTAAGACCTAAATCCAGCCAGAGAGCAGTTGGATTTAATTCAGGTCATTTGCCAAGATAGATACCGTGGACCAAAGATTTAATTACAGCTGACACCTGAAAGACAAACAAGAGAAACATGATGCCCAGTGAACTGGTGCTATAAGAACAAAACAGAACTGAAAGAAAAAAAAGAGGGTGGGTTGTGATCTCTAAAACAAACCCCTCCCACTCATCCAAACCAGGTAGGGTCCTCAAAACTTTTTCAGATTGTGAACTACACTTCAGTGCACCAATTGTTTCCCTGACCTATTCACCAGTGCAATGGGGAGGCTCATACTAATATGTTGCAGTAACAACTGTACACCAGGATTGTCAAACATACAGCCTGCAAGTCAGATCTGGCCTGCAGAGCCATGTCATCTTGCCAGTGGAGCTCCAGAGGGGTCAGAATGAATGTGGGTGGGATTCACTGCCAAAATTCAGGATATGGAGCCCTACTGGGTACATGTAATGGGGAGGAGCAAGAGACAGTTGCATTAACCCTCATAGCCACTGCTGCCCATACGGTAGCTATAGCTGGATCTGGCTTGCAAGGAGGGGTTTCACACATCTGGCATCAAAGAATACCAGAAAAATACTGTTTTAAATCTTTCAAAACAATGTAATAGCTGGCAACAAGAGGGTAAAAAAGCATCATATGACTAGACAGCTTTCCATCACCTGCAAGCTCCTCATGGACCACAAGAAGAGAGTATCAACTCTACTTCCACTTTTACTTTGTGCAAAAAGGGTTTCCACTCATTATAGGGATCTTGTCAAAATCCCTATAATCAAATGGCTCCTTCTACACCTAGATAAATCAGAGCAACAAGTAGAAGAAGGGACATAGCAATGTTCTCCTGTCTGTAGGAGATTTGACTGCTCCCTTGAAAACAACAGGTAAAATGGAAGATTCCAGCTAAAGAAATGCCAAGTGGAAATGAATTTTCCTCGCATCAGAGTAAATCTTTTAATGCTGACATTTAAGGAGACACTTATCATAGATCCACAGGCAGAAACACTCTAAATGATTCTGTAGCTACCCCACAGGCAGGTGTGGCAGGAGGCTGTGTAGCATGTTTTAGATAATAACTATTTAAGGGGTGACTAGAGATGAGCTTTCCTGTAAAGACAGGGCAGAACGGAGGTCCCCAGTTGACAGAGCTAGCTGTGACCGAAGGGAAGGCAGACCCTGGGAGATTGTCACAGGAGTTTTTGAGGGCTAGGTGGTAGTCTGAATGGAAAAATTGTATCAGTTCTGTTGACCATAATCTGTTGTCAAAGCATTTGATCCCCTTTTCTTTTTTATACCATTTGTTCTTCCCTTGTAATAAACACTTGTTTTTGTTTCTTCACCAGGCTGCCTAGGATAAATCATTATTTCTGGGCAAATTAATAACCTGGGTCAGTAAGCTTACACAAACCCAAGGCACAACTCTGGGAGCACTATGACACCTCAAGGTTTTGTCACAATGCTATCAATGTATTGTTTGTTTGTTTTTATCCCAGTCTTTAATCTCTATCTAAAGCATGCCAGATTATTTGGAAGAGGTTAGTGGGCACTAGGGCACAATTTTCTAGGAAATGCACAAAAGGCTCTTTCTAAATTCATATTTTTATTACAGACTTTATCAACCAGAAATTGTAACAGGTCTTATCCAGGGACCTTTTTTTACTTTTAACCTGTTTAAAAGTGACTCTTGGGATTCAATCTCTTTGGGTGCCTATACACAAGCAGCAAGGCTGCTCTAATGCACTGTAATTGCAGTGCGTCAGAGCAGGCTTGATTAATCGAGTCTGCTGAAGCCTGGTAATTACCATGCTCCAGCAGACTCCAGTGTCTTGTGTATCAGCTTCCCTGCATTTAAAAATAGAGGCAGGGGCATTTCAACTAAAACTCGTTAAATGAGCTTTAGTTAAAGTGCCCCTGCCACCATTTTTAAGTGTGGGGATTCTGATATAAAAGATGCTCCTGGCACTTTAATTAGAGCAGCTTTCAGAGTTGCTCTAATTAAAGTACTGCTGCCGCACGCCCCCCCCGAGCACATGTATAAATGCCCTGTAATACTATTTCTGCAAAGACTTGTGCATGGACTTAACTTCATGCATATATGTAGTGCACTGAAGTTAATGGTGCTATTGCCCATGCATAAATCTTTGCAAGATTCAGGCCTATAGTACTACTCACACTTGTAAGAATTAAAGCCAAGAACATTTTAAACACTTGGTTTCTTATTGCTATGGATCTTGTTTATTTTAATTTTTCAGTTATCCTCTGGATGGACTATAAAAATAGGAAGGATCTTTTTTCCTGTCAAAAAACAAGGTGTGTATTTTATTCCAGGGCTTGAAGTACATGATAAAATATGGTACTTCAGGAGTGGATACTCTTTAACAGAGGTAAACCTACCTTGTATCGGTTAAGCTTACATTTGTACATTTAGAGGACAAACTAAACCAATCTAATCAGTTTTAAAGTCATAAAAGAAGGAATTCAAGATTTACCATGAAAATGCTGACATCAACAAAGATTACATCGAGTCTTCCATACACACGCGCACACACACACTTATATACACACACATTATATATATGCCTTGACAGAAAAGCAAATACAAAGCTAATCAAAATACTCCTTCCAAAATAACAAATCATTTGGCAGTGTCCTCTGGGTGATAGTGGCATGTTGTATACTCCCCATGCTCTTTTATTTGCTCTAGCTTTGCAGTACACTTGGCAGCTAACTGAACCTCTGGAATGTATTTTTTGAGCAGTTATAGCTAGATTTGTGAATGACTGCTTGTTTGGCAGAATGTTGAGAGGCTTTAATTGTCTCCTCTCCAGAGCCAAAATCATATTTTTGTCTTTTGACTCTTAATATCTAGCATGGACTTTCCATCTTGCATGTCTGAGACCAAAAGGCCAGTCCAAATTTTTAAGATTTCTGCCAAATGCTAACAAATGCAAACACAGGAGAATTAATGGAAATTATATTTTTCCAGTATAACTGACAACATTTTTGTATGTAGCTGGCAAAACTCATCTCACATGCACCATCTGGCTTGCAAACAAACCTGCTTATAAAATTAAACCCAGCTTTACCCAACATAGTTAACTGAGACAGAGAGGGGGCAAATGGCTTACCTGAGGTCATACAGAGGCTTAATGACAGCTTGGATCTGGGTCTCAGTTGACAGTCTCTATCAATGCTAATCCGCAAAGATGGACCTGGTCTAGCATAGTACACAACTGTTCAAACTTCACTAAATCTCTGGCCCAGTGGTTCTCAACCTTTTGGAGCTCAAGGCACCCTGCTTTGGCTTGAGGCACCCACCCCTTTGCAAATGCCAGCTCTTAGTTTTCACTTGTCTTTTTTGACTACAGACAAAAAGCAGAGCAATTTTTCTGTTTCAGAGAACTCAAAAAGCCAACAGGTCAAAATACTTTTTTAACACTATGGATTCATATTTGAAATGTCTGGGTGCATCTTGTAAATCATGTTTGCACAGCACTCTTAAAAAGATCTCAAGGCAGCCAAGCTTGCTGCAGCTCCTGGTTCAGAATCGCTACTCTAAGCTTTTGGCTTTGAAGAAACAAAATACTACTTGTTATTTCAATAATGGCTTCAGAAATACTGAACCCTTTTAATTAGTCAAACAATAGCTGACAATATCTGAATTTAGCTAGCATCTTTCTATTCTTCTCTCACACTTTGTCTCCTTCCACTAAAAGAGTATTTTCTTAAGCTGCGATACATATACGCATATGTGTCACCAAGATTCTCAAAGGAGCATCTCTCTTTAACCCAGTAATGCATGACGGTTCCTTCAACCTACTTACTGCTAATTCATTTAAGAGTGATATTAAAAGAATGATCTTTCCCCTCAAAATCTGCACCTACATTCTACATACCTAGTTCAACTGAAGGAAATATCATGCATTTCAGTGCACAAGTGCTCAGATTTGGACCTGCCTGTTTCTATGGACATAAAAGTATCTAAGCATCTGCAGCACCTCTATGTAACTGGTACCTGCAATTCAATTAAATGTCCTTTGAAAATTTGGGATAACAGATTTTGAAAACATTTCAATATCGTTCTTCAGATCTGTGGGGGCCAACCGTTTTAGCAGGCACACCACAAATTAGCCCCACACTGTCCTCAAGTGCCACTCCGGTCCCTTTCCCCTGATACTCAGCTTTCTGCTTTAGGGTCCTTGCCCAATCTATTGCTCTAATTTCTGCCCTGGGTTCCCTGCCCAATCTGCTGCTCCACTTTCTGCTCCCTACCCATCTGTTGCTGTGCTGCATCTCTTCTTCCCAATCAGCCACATGCCAAACACAGAGACTGCCCATGCCACAGTTGGCCACCCCTACTTCAGATAATGGGTCTTGGCATCAACTTACAAACAAGCTGGATGCTTTAAGAAGTGATAAACAAATAAACAGCATAAGTTACCTCTGCAAGTTTCAGATGAAGAAGAGCATTTTCTGTCTCCAATACAATTATTCTTTCTTCTTTAGTCTGGAAAAAAACCCAAATCAGCTAGATTTCCAAGTCCCCAATCTCAGTAATTGTGACAGAAAAGGCTAAGTGAGATGAGTTCTAGCTTGCAATTCTTATTGGGAACACTTTGAGGACTCAGTGTGAGCAGGTTTTGATGTAGATAATTCTTGTAAATAGCTTCATAAGCAGGACATCTTTATGACCTTCTCATCCCAGGGAGGGTAGCAGGTTGGACCTGGCAATAGGACCTGAAGACTGCTCTCTGATTGACTCCCCATGGCTTTTTATGTCATTTTATTGGATTAGTGTTGTCCCCAGGCTACTAGAGTTTTGTAACTGTTTTGTGCCAAGTGCAACTGCCTGGGATGGAGGAGACTGAGTGAGGTTCTCAGAAAGCCGGAGGGACAGAAGGTCCCAGGAAAGACAGTAGAGAGAAAACAGACCTAGGGAGGACAGAGCGGAGTCCATGGAAAGACAGGGGGAATTGGAGTGGCACAATAAAGACGGTTTGTTTTGGGGCAGGATCTACTGTGCTATTTGGGATGCTGGCACTCTGACTCCCACTCTTTAAAGAAGAAAACACCCCCTCCTTCCCAGGAGCTGACTACAAAGAAGGAGGTCTCAGAGGTGGGGGTGTCCCTGATCACCAGGGAAGTGAGGGACTGAGAAGAGCCAGGACCTAAAAGCCAGAGGCCCTGGATCTTCTTCACAAGAAATGCCCCTTGTGAAACCATGCCAGGGGTCCTCTCAAGAGAGAGAGACCAAATAAGGCTGCTTTTTGGGAAGTCCTAAGGCAGAGCTTTTCCCCAAAAGGAGGGTTGATCCTACATGACAGTAATAAAACTGAAATAAGCACATTTTTAAATCAGATCAATAATTCTGACAATCATGCATGTGTTAATCAGCAGCGTGGCTTTTACAGGCTAAGAAGCCAGTGTGATGTAACATCAAAACACTTTTCCAATACTGGAATCTAGCTGGAACCTGTTTCCCCAAAGCACCTTGGGCAGAGCCTGGTGTTCGTGACTTCCTGACATCAGTTTGCAATCCAGTATTGTTTCAGACTGACTGCAAACTGAAGCAGGTTGTTGTTAACCTAGTTTACACTGTGGAATGGTTCTCTGTGCAAATGAAAAGAGCAAAAAAGGAAGCATCACTGAAACTCCACTGAAGCCTGGCTCATGACTCCTAGACTGGGAAACCCTGGTCTAATTTAATACACATCTGTTGTCATTTAACTCAGTGTTTATCACAAGTATTCAATTACTTGATAACTTATACAGATATTACTGTTAAGAACCAGATACCTGATCTCAAAGAAAAAAAAACTGTTCCAAATCCACAGAAAGTTTACCAATTTTGGAAAGAGCAGGGCTTGTTTTATACCTAGCCAAACTGGGTTTGGAAAAGCAAGGATGTTGCTCTTTTCAGACTGAAGGAGGAAGCAGAAAATAAATGCTGTCCAGTGAATGCTTCCAGTGAACTTGAAGCATGTGACTGGACTCGGTACAGATTACTTCTTACATTTGAAGTTTTGGCACACTGGGATGCTTACCCAGTAACGGTTTGCCTACACTGTCATGCACTGCTTGACAAGGCCCTTCACCATCTGCTCAAAGGGACAGCTCAGGCTGGTACCATGATCTTGGGAGAGGATCAAGACTCCCTCCCCTGCAACTGAGCCTTAAGAACACAGCCAGACCAGTTAACCCAGTGCCCAGTGGGTCATCCCAGCCTGAGCCTCCAAGACCCCCAGGATTCAGGTGGGCAGGTATGAAGCTAGGTAACCTCACTCACGCCTTCAGGGGCAGCTGTCCCTCCCTGCCAGAGGTGGCCTGCAGACACAGCTGTGGCCCTGACTGCATCTGGATCGCACTCTCCAGCTTCTCCTGGTGGCCAGAAGGGCTGGAAAGACCGTCGTCCTGGACGCTGCTATTCTGAAGTTCTGCCATGCTCAGGGTTGGGACACCAGGCCTGTGCCCATCACCCAGCCCAGCAGTACCCCTGGGTCTCAGCCCAGCTGTGTGGTGGGGCAGTGGTGGCCGTAGGATTATTGGGGCCCTGGGCGAGAGTCATTTGGATTGATAACTGAATACTCAGGATATGAGAGTCACTTGGCCCCTGGGCCAAATGCATCTAGCAACACGGGGTATCTATCCCACCCTTGCCCCCCGCCCTGTGCTTCAGGGGATGACGTCACGGCTGTGATACCGCTGTGGGGAGGCACTTGGAGAGGGGGCGGGGCCAGAACTGATCTGCTCTGAGCTGGCCCCGCCCCCTTCGAACTCCGCGGCCTCGCCGTGGGGGGTGGGGGGAGAGTGGGGTGACGGACTCACGCGCAACTTCCTCTCCAGCTGCCGGACCCGCTGGTCCGAAACGAAGCCGAAGCTGATTCCGCCGCCTGGCCGCATCCTTGCGGCCCCTCCCCCTCCTTTGAATCGACCAATGCCAAGCAGGGCCAGAGCTTCGCTTCGGTTGCTATGGTCACCGCCCCTTCTCCGGCTCCAATTGGCTGGAGGGCCGGGCTCCGCAGTCCGCCGAACGCCGGGAACCGCCTGCCCAGAGCGCGCGCTACCCGCAAAGGAGCGGGGCCAGATTGGTGGGAGGAGGTCCCCTCGCGGCTTGAGTGACAGAAGCAGCCCACCAATTCAAAGATGTGGGAATGGGGCAAGGGGCGTGACCGTCCCCCCTCCGCTGCGCGTGCGCCCTGGAACGCGGGAGGCTGAGGAAATGTTGGCGGGCGGTTAGGGGAAGAAAGGGGCGGGGAGAACCGGGGTCTTGGAGATGAATTGGTGTGAGGGAGAAGTGACAGTGGTTGAAAGAACGAGCTGTAGTAAATCTATGTGACGTTACAGGCACTTCAATTAGAGTGGCTCAAAGAGCTGCTCTAAAGTAGGCCCCCTCCATCCTGGAAGACTTGTATAGATGCCCTCAGAGCTGATAGTAAGGGGTGCCTATAACAGGTGCAACAAGGCTGCTGTTACTCACTGTAACTACAGCACATCAGAGCAGACTCGATTATTAATTGAATCTGCTGGAGCATGGTAATTACTGCGCTCCAACAGATTCCAGTGTCTTGTTCAACAAGCGTTAGTTAAAGAGCCCCCACTGCCATTTTTCAGTATGGGGATGCTGATACACATGATGCTCCAGGCATTTTAATTAGAGTGGCTACCTCCCTGTCTTGCTGTCTTCTAGAGCGCATGTATAAATGCCCATCGTTTTTAAATATCTGTCAGGTGAGGCTTGGTATTGTTTTACTGAAGAAGAGCAAGTATGTTACCTACGTTCAAGAAGGCTCCAGAGCCAGCATGTCCTGGATTTGGTTTGTGGACCTGGAGCCAGTGTATAGAGCTGGAAGCAGCACACTGTCTCAGCCCACAGCATGCTAGGTCAGGCCCCAATGCTGTCACTCCAGATTGGGCCTCATCACATATCCCCAGTGTAGGTGTGCTGGACTGCGCCTGCTGTGTGGCTTCAGCACAGCATGCTGGATACTGGATTGGGCTCTGCTATGCTTTCCCCCACATGACAAATTGAGGGAGACGGCAGTACAGAGGAGGATCAGGATATCATACAGGATGAATCAGATGACCTCAAGAACTGAAAAAAAAAAGGGATGATGTTTAGTTTTACCCAATGGAAGATTATGAACTAAAAGATCAACAGCAAGGATTCTGCTATAAACTGGAAGTTCATCAATTGGAAATGAGGGAGGAAGAGAAAAATCTGGATGTTCTAGTCATTTGCAGGATGATGACTGAGCCATGATTGTGATGTGGGAGTGGAAAAGACAATCTCTCTTAGAATTTATTAATCAAGGTATTTCCAGTAGAGATCAGGAAATGTTCATCTCACTGTGCAAGGCTGGTGAGACTTCATTTGCACTAGTATGTTCAGTTCAGGTAGCACAAACTCAGACTGGAACAGGTTGGAAGGGCTAATAGGGTTAATCAGGAACGGAAAGTCCATCACAGGAGAGAAGACTAGAAGAGCTTGGCTTTTTAGTCTGGCAAACTGAAGGTTGAGTAGGGGATCTGAATGCTACAAACAGATCTGGGTGGGAGGGGGTCAGACAAAGGACAAGAGGAGAGGAGCTATTTAAACTAAAGCAGAAGGCTTGGCACTAGGACCTGGCTGCCTCCATTTCTGCACAGGCAGAGCCCCCCCTTTGTTGAAGCTCCTGTGGCATCAACAGAGACCCCCACCCTAGCTCCTGAAGTGCTGGCTGCCTGGCTGCAGGTGGTGCCAGCAGAGTCCTCCCCAGCCACCAGATATTGCTACCATGACTTCACAGGCCAGATCAAGTCCATGGGTCATAAATTGCTGACTCCTGATTTGAAGGACAGTCCTGGCATAAGAATAAACAGATATTAACTACCCATAGATAAATTTAGGATGGAAATTATAAGGTTTCTAACCGACACAGGAATGAGATTCTGGAATGGCCTTTCAATACGAATAGGAGGAGGAAACCTAGCTTAGTTTTAAGATGGCATTTCATCATTTTTTAAAGGATTATATGACATATTTGCCTATTATAGCTAAAAACTAGATCTGATGACCCATAACATTATGTTCCTTCCAGTCAGCTGTTCCTATGTGCTTTCTAATGGTATTTAATTTTTGACCACAGCCACAAGTTGTTATTTTTTGTAAATCAGTTTGGCCTAAAAGCTCTAATACATTACTTTTAGCCTATGTATTATTTATTAGACA